CGCAAGGATCTCAGAACCTATAAGAGCTAGAGACTTGAAATTTTAGCTGTAGGTCTTCCTAGTCCATGCGATAGTCGATAACTTACCCCGTTTCCAAGTAATCGATAAAAATCGATATCGAAATCCTGTTTTTGAAGCAATTTTGGTAAATAATAAGAGCTAGAGTTACCAAACTTGACATGTAGCTTCCAGAATAGTATATATATATCAAGTATCTTTCATTTTATAGCTATCGCCACCTCCCCGCTACCACCACAAAGCTATAAATCATGTTATTAAACCAACTTGTATTGCCTCACTAATTAAGCCACAATTTAAATGCAATTGTGATTTTGAGAATACACAAATATTTTATGGTACAATAAGATTTTCTACCGAAAATTTCATCAAGATCGGTTAAGAAACACGAAAAAAAAAGTGTTTTGGCATGCAAACACGTGCAGCAGCAAGCGCAAATTCCAAGAAGTTCTGTGTACATGTACACACACACATTCATGCGCGTTTGCTTTGAATTCTATCAACAGCATTGCAATTGCGATTGTATTGTTTTCTGTGCTGCTATTTGAATTCGTTTTTTTTCTCATTAATACTTAATTATTTATGTGCCTATTGAGTAGAAGCGGCGGAAAGCAGCGCGATCAGTTACGAGATCGAACCTTGCTGAGGAAGCCTTTTTCTTTTTTTTTTTGCCTGGTGTAGCTATTGCGTAGAGGCGGCAGCAAGTAATGCGGTCAGTTGCGAGTTCAAACCCTGCCAAGGGAATTTTTTTTTATTTATCTTTATTTCTACTAAAGCGAACGAGCGCGTAGCGCGAGCTGCATTTGCTGTTGGAATAAGAGGGTTCAGGGTATCCCCTAGTTGGGAGCTCCCGACTAGAACCTCTTACTTGTTTTAATTTAATGCAATGAATGAAATATCATATGAATATTTTAACTTCATTAAGATCACTTGTATCGCTTCGAATTTGTATGCCCTGAACCCCTTAAAAATGGGTAAAAGGGTATAATAGTTTTGGGTAAATGTGAGTAACGACGAATATATATTATATATGTAGGGAATGAACTTCTGAAGTCATTAAATTACACTATGTCCTTTTAGTTTTAATATTAATAAATTGGTGATTATTCACTTTATACCTTTATATCTTATTAAACAATGATGCGTTTTTTTATTACACTCAACGAGATCATACGCACGTATCTTAACTTCAGAAGCTCGAACCCTACTCCTCTATTGTCGTATGCTTCTGCTATCACCTTCTATTACTTGACGTGTGTCTAACATTTTATCGGCTGCTACAGGCTCTAATTGATATCTCTATCTGACAGAGTTACCTGTCGTACATATATATATATATTCTAGGTCATCTATAGTCGGGTCGATTTAGCCGTCTGTCTGTCCCTATGAACAGGTCGATATCAAAACCTTTAAGAGCTAGAGTCTTGAAATTTTAGTAGGTCCTCCTTGTGCCCACGCAGTACGAGTTTGTTTCCGATAATCGATAGCCTGCCCCGTTTCCAAGTAATCGATAAAAATCTATATCGAAATACTATTTATTTTTTATTAGTAAATTTCTTATGTTTTTCTTTTTGCGTTAATCCCGGTGCAATGTACTGTATTCCCACCTCCCGCCCAACCGACCGAAAGGCGCAGTCGTGTAACGTACAACATAAAGGCGATAAAGATGTATAATTATGAGTTAGTCTAGAAGGGATAGAGAAATTTAATTGGCTAGCCAACCCAGAAGAGTCGATTGCACTTGTAATAAGCTTATTAATAAATATTACACCAAGCATGGTTCTGCGATTAATTAGGAAAGGGAGAATAATCATCAGAAGTTTACTGGAATATGACGGTAACAGCACACGAGGATCCCAATTTAAACCAAGAAAGACAAACAACAAGAATTTTTTCTGTACAGATTCAATTTTCTCTTGATGAATAGAATATTGTGGCAAGCAGACACATGAGGCATACTGTATTAAGGATCTTTGTCGTGTACGGATCGTCAAATTCCTTTGACCATCGCTTAATGAAACTCAAAATAATTCTGGCCTTATTGACCACGGGAGAGTCGGATTAAAGTTTATGATCAAGAATAACACCTAGATCAATAACTTCATTGCAAGTACTGTTGACACGCTCGAGCGGTACGTTTAGAAAAAGAATTTTTGGAAGGAACCTTTTGGGTTTTGTTACGCAAATACTCTGAAATCTAGTTCAAAAGACTAACTGGGAGGCCGAGAAGGCATAATTTATGAAGCAGTAAGGAGTGGTTAACATAGTCGAAAGCGTTAGTGGAATCCGTAGTAACGACGCATTTGTTTCTTAAAACCATCAATTACCAGCGAAGTAATCTCAAGAAGGTTAGTGGTTGTAGATCTGCGCTTCACGAACCTATGGTAGGATGGTGCTGCAGCACAGTACCCTAGTAAACAGGCGGGAACATCATCAGAGCCCGGTGAGTATACCGGCTTGATTTTGCTGAGGTCGCTGAGAAGCGAACTTTTAGTAATTACAGCATTTAAAATGCAGTTTGACCTCTGTAACTGATAAGCAAAAGGCTGATTTTAATTACACCGCGAGGAGGAGTAGGTAGTTTGAAAAAAGGTTGCGAACAGATTGGCTATGCCTGGATCAGTATTCGCGCTCTCATCTGCAAACTTAACCGAAAATAGCAAAGTAGATGTCATTCGTTTAGAGTTGACAAAGTAAAAAAATTGCTTAAGATTATGTGCAAACTGAAGGCAACAACTACAAAGGAAATCCTTATAGCATATGGAATTTTGCGAACAAACAGTTGATCGGGCAACTGCATAACGGGGGATATCAGAATGATTGCCCGATTTCTTAAACTTTTTAAAACACCTCGACTTCACATTTGTTAATTTCACTAGTTCTCTTTAGAACCAGGGTGGCCTATCATACCTCGCTGGGGGATCAAGAGCTTATGAATCTGGTAGAAATGGTAATTTTCTAGAGTTGGATGAAAAGGATCTTCAGGAAGTGAAAGCGAGTCAATCCTGTGCATAACACTGTCGAAGGAATCCAACAGGAGGATCAGATCAAGATATATATTTCTTAAATCGCGCACCGGACTACCCTGTCGTAAGGACATTTCATGTAGACCATCAATAAATTCATTTGACACAGAATGCAACAGAAAGTAAGAATCCAATGGCGATGACTAATCATCATCTGGGAGATTAAAGTCGCCAGGAACGACTAAGAGGTAATTAACAGAAAGTTGGGAGGAGATATATTTGATAGTGTTAGGATGGATTTGGCTTATATACATGTTAGATAGTAGGGGGTATATAGGAACATGAAATAAAAATACAAAAACTTCCAAATACAAATCTTACAGCCACCAACTCAATCTCCGAGATGGAAAGTTCAATGCGTTCCGACGAAAGAGCAGACTCAACAGCTCCTCCGATACGGGAATCTCGATCACATCCATAAGTGGTGTGTTTGGAAGTAAAATTGAAGAATGTGAGATGTCCAGCTTAAGCCAGGTCTCAGTAAAAGCGATAATGTGAAAGTTAAATGCAAGAGAATCTAAGTACAGGCTAAAAAGCTTAGATTTAAGACCTCTAACGTTTTGTTAGGCAAGCTCAAGGGAAAAATTAAGTTTTTGACGCAGCAACTAATGTTGTGGCGTCACTAGATAAAGGTGGTAATAGAATCGAGGTCCGAATTCAGCTCGCGCTACGTGCTCACTTGCTTTGCCAGTAATACAAATAAATTAAAAAAAAAAAAATTCTTCGATGGAACTCGAACTCACACACTACTTGCCACAGCCTCTAGTCAACCATACCACCAATTCACTCATAGCGAAAAAAAAACGAATTATAACACATACACACGCCACAGATAGAATTAAAAAAAGACGCGCGTAAATGCCTGTGTGTACATGTATACAGAAATTCTTGCGTTCTGCGCTAACTGCCGCTGACACGTGGGCTGCCAATATATATATGGCGTTTTCTTTAATAACATCTGTGTTTCTTAACCGATCTTGATGAAATTTTCAACAGTTGATCTAATTGTGCTATAAAATGTTTGTATATGCTCAAAAGGTTAATTGCATTAAAATTGTGGTTATAATTGTTGGGCAGCACAAACTGGTTTATGTACTAGATTTATGGCTATGTGGTAGTAGCGGGTAGGTGGCGATAGCTTTATAACGAAAAATACTTGATATATATATACTTATATATACTATTCTAGAAGCTACATGTCAAGTTTGGTGACTCTAGCTGTTATAACAAAAAACAGGATTTCGAGTCGACTTTTATCGATTACTCGAAAACGGGACAAGTTATCGAATATCGGAAACAAACTCGTACTGCGCGGGCACTAGGAGGATGCACGTTACAAATTTCAGTCTCTAGCTCCTATATGTTCTGAGATCCTTGCGTTGATACATAGATAGACGGACTTGGTTAAATAGACTCGGCTCTTGATGCTGGTCAATACACAGCTCATAATACACAGAGAACAGCATACAATGCAGTTGGAATTGTAATTATATTTGCGGGTTTGCATGAGCGTTTATATGTGGACACGCATTCAGACATTCTTGCACTTTGCGCTTGACAATAGCCAAACATTTTCTTTAATAACTTTATATAATAACTTATAATTGCAAATAGACAACAGCATTAAAATTGTGGCTTTATTTGGTGGATAGCTCGAATGATAGCTATGGGGCGTGCATTAGGAGAACCTACTCTTTAAGTTTCTAGTCCTTATCGACGATTTCATACAAACATCCAGTCGGACAGGCAGATGGAAATGGAGACTTGGCTATTGATGCTGACCAAGAATTTAGACCTTATGGGGAAGGTGATGCTTCCTTCTGCCTGTTACATACATTCGAACAAAACCATTTTACCCTTTTTACCAATCTCAGAAGGTTCAGCGTATGAAAACATATCAATAATATTATTATATTTTAAATGGATTTCTAATGACTTATTTTATATTATTTACAGTTATTAAAGACGTGAGGATTAACAATGGCTTCGTCCGACAACGGAGTAATACTAAGTGAATATCAAAAAAAATTAAAAACAATGAAAAAAAAATTTTTTGTTTTGCACAAAGAAACAATTAATTCCGCTGCACGGTTGGAATATTACGATACTGAAAAAAAATTTCTTCAAAATGCAGAGCCAAAACGCGTTATTTATTTGAAGAGCTGTTTTAACATTAATCAGCGATTTGATACTAAACATAAGTTTGTATTAGCTCTATCATCAAGAGAAGGCGGCTTTGGAATGGTGTTGAACTCTGAAAGTGATTTACGAAAATGGTTAGACAACTTATTATCCATACAACGTGAAAACACAACTGGAACCGATCAAGTATATACATCATATGGTAAGCTAAGTTTCAAATTCTAGCAATGATAAAAGACCTATTCATACATTTACAAAATTCTTTAAATTAATTGATTGTGTACAGAAGTCAAAATAAATAAAATAAATCAACATTTTATCTTAGAATAATTTAAAATGGAGTCCATGAATCAATCAAAGAAGTTAATTCGTAAAAAAGAAAAACAAAACACTTAGCTTTCGTGCTTTGGTAAGTGATAAGAGTACCAAATTCCACAGTGCAATTGTTGATATGTAATATGTGTAAAGCGAAGTAAAAAAAGACATGAAAGCAATATTATTAAATAACTATCTATTCATATTGACGACGGCAGATAAATTATATACTTGAGCTGATGGTACTGATCATGTTAGTTTTTGATCTAGATGTTTTATAAAGTCCGTCAACTTGTGCAAAGAAGCCCCGCTAGATTGTATGTTAGACCTCCCCTCGCCGTCTGCACATTGGCGAGTGCCCAATGTAGCTGGCAATGCAGTGTGTGCGGTAGAGAAAATGTATGCCCATTGACAAAATTGGGAAGCAGGCTACGACAAGCGAGTAATTCTTAAATTGGTTTCGCCGGCTCCTGACTTACCGATGGGGACGTATTTCTATGGCTGCCGTCTTAAACGCCTCGCCGAATCGCTGATACCTGTCGCGTTAACCGCCATTGAAAGTCCAGTCATGATCAAGTGCAAAACGAAATTATCGATCATAACAAAATTTGACTTTCCTTGATATTTTCTTAATTGATGAATTTGATACATTTGAACAGAACGTTGATAAAAACAGCCACGACAAAAACATTCTGTTGTATTTTTTATATAAAAAATATTATTAAAACTTATTTTTCATTTGATGAAAGTAATAGGTGACCTGTGTTTATGGTATAAAATTGTGGTAGAATTTAAAAACAATATTAATTCCTCTTTTGTAACTGCTGTTGAACATCTGTAGAGTTAAACATTGTGAGGTATGGATCGGTCGGTGATGAGACTGTTTTATGTTAAAAAGACAAGAAAAAAAAGGTAACGAAATATACCTTTTTTTTTCTTGTCGGTCTGAAGTAAAGAGGGTGCGTTTACAGACCGACAAGGTGCCTCAAACTTATTGAAAATAGATAAAAAGGGTTTATGAAAATGTATGTAACAGGCAGAGGGAAGCATCTCTGACCCCATAAAGTATATGTATTCTTGGTCAGCATCAATAGCCTAGTCGGTGTAACTATGTACGTCTATCCGTACGTATCTATGTATGCGTCGGTCATAGAACTTTTAAGAGCTAAAGACTATTAATTTTAGTCCTCTTTGTGCCTGAGCAGTATAAGTTTGTTTCCGATAATCGGTTAATTGCCCTGTTTCCAAGCAATCCGTAAAAATCAGCATCGAAATCCTGTTTTTTGCGAAAAACGCTTGGGTTTTAACAGCTAGATACACTAGCTAGCTTATTATACACAATTATCATCATCACAAGTATTATTAATTTAACATAAATCTCACTCCCCGCAGCCTTGCTAAAATAAGTAATAATGAGTACGTGTTTCAGCGATTTTGAAAATTCCACCCATAGAGAGGTAAATTGACGGATAATGGATGGTGTATGGATGGTGTGTAGTTGCAAGCATTTTTGCAACTAATTAATTCTCACTACTTGTGTGCAGCAAAATTCAAAGGAGTTAAATTTTTGTTTAAAATGTATTTATTTTGCCTGGCAGGATATTTATTAGAATTTATAAGCGTATAATTGTTACTTGGTAGCTAACTCGAATTAGTTGTGCCGCTAACATTATTTGCTCTTAGTCTGTAATTGTGCTGTTTAATACTGCACGCAGACGTCGGTGTTGTCCCGGTTGGTTACTAGACCAAACAGATGGTATTTAAGAGTCATCCGATCGGCTTCAAAATAACTTTCTTCGTACAACTTATAATTCTTTATTGAAGAAAAAAATGCGAAAACTGTTTTATACTAACAATTTAGATAGATTTAACTCTTATCTGTGAAGATCGTATTCGATTAGATAATTAGATATAAGCGATATCGAAATTTGCTTAAGTGAGTTGTATAAATGTATGAATTATAAAGACAACATCCATCCCTAAGCCGTTTCGGAAGCGTCCGTTAGGTCCTATTTTTTTTTAGGCGGGGTATGTTAATATTACGTCTTCTGATTCCAATATATTTGTTAACCTTTCAAAAGTATCCAGTTGTTTTGGAGTTAACTCAAGTTTAACTTTCGTTGATTGATTGATGTCAATTTTTGTGTTCTTACCTTTTATGACCTCCGCTAGGAGCCTGGCGATTGTGGCAAAACCTTTTATGAAGCACCGATAGTAGCTCGCTATTCCTAGAAATGGTCGGACTTTGAAAAAAGTGGAAGGGGTCTGAAAAGTTCTTATTGCCATCACTTTTTCAGGTGATGTCCGAATTCCGCCCGTAGATAGCATGAAACCAAAGTACTCCACGCTTGTTTTGATAAACTAGGAATGTACTTCGGAAACAGTGTCGAATAGACTTTTGAAATCCCATTTAATATCTCTGACGTGGTCGTCTTTATTTTCGGAAAAAATTACGACATCGTTGACGTGGACTTAACATAATTTACCGATTTTTTCCCGCAGGATGGCTCTTGAGAATATGCTTGGGGCATTTTTTAGCCCAAAATTCGTACTTCCCATGGCTAACAGAAAACGCCATCTTTGGCGAAAAATTGTGCCTCTCCCACGTTTGACAGTATTGTCCAAATAAAGGGGATAAGGTATTTGTCACCATTATTATTCTGATTTAGCTTTCGAAAATCAATAACCAAACGTTTCTTTTATGGCCCGTTTCATGGACACCTTTTTATCAACAACACAGATAGTATTTTTGTAAGGTGACTTGGACAGCCTTACTCTCTCGTTCTTGAAAAGTTGTTTAACCGACAAAGCCGTCAGCGCCCATTGGGTAAGAATATACAGAATAAACAGGGTTAATATAAATATATATATTAGGCAAGAATATATAGAATATATAGGCTCCTCTTCTGTAGGGTGGTCATTATATTGATGTTGTAAGGCAGGGGCTCGATTCTGTAAAGGCCTTTGTTCTTTGATTGATCATTTTACAAAATGCCTCTATGACAGGGCCTGGTACATCGTCGCTATTGATTTTTATGAAGCTGTCATTTTTACACTTAGTAAATTTCTTCGAACTATGATTCTGTTCGATATTTACCATTATTTACCAGATATATTTTCGCATTGCCTTTTTTCATTTATGAGTTTTGTTTGGAGCGTGACGATTAGTCTATCTGCCTGGGGTCGCAGTTTGTCCTGTGACTCTGGTAGTTCGTCGGTTGTCTGTACAGTGAAGACGAATCTACTCCCATGAGCTCCGGCGTTTTACTTTGGGCGATCTGCGCATAAAGGCGTTGCTTAGAGCTGCCCGACTTGGCTTGGCTGCCTTGGCCACCTTGATTTACATCGTTTTGTGAGGTAGCTTTTTCATTGATTTGACATCGACCCTGGGGTCTTAAAATTTAGAACCGCGTTAAAGGTAGTGGTAATGGCTAGAGCTTCCCTCATAGAGCTTAAAAATCGTATAGGCAGCGGTGGGGTGGCTGTCTGTCTTTTTTCTTTTAACTCGCTCATCGTTGTTGCTGTGGTTTTTATTTATTTAATGTTTTTTCTTTAAACTCGTTCAGCGTTGTTGCTGGGGTTTCAATTTTTGACTTTTCACTCCTTTTTTTATATATTTTTTATACCCTGAACCCATTAAAAATAGGTAAAAAGGGTATAATGTTTCCGTGCAAATGTATGAAACAGGCAGAATATATATATTCTTGATCAGCATCAATAGCCGAGTCGATCTAGCTATGTCCGTCTGTCCGTATGTATGAACGCAAGGATCTCAGAATTTATAAGAGCTAGAGACTTGACTGTAGACTGTAGGTCCTCCTAGTCCCCGCGCAGATCGAGTTTGTTTCCGATATTCGATAATTTGCCCCGTTTTCAAGTAATCGATAAAAATCGATATCATAATCCTGTTTTTTGAGCAATTTTGGTAAATAATATGAGCTAGTGTCGCCAAACTTGACATGTAGCTTCTAGAATAGTATATATATATATCAAGTATCTTTCATTTTATATCTATCGCCACACCCCTTTACCAACACGAAGCTATAAATCAAGTTAATAAACCAACTTGTAAGAATTCACAAATATTCTATATTCTATTCTACAATAAGATGTACTGTCGAAAATTTCATTAAGATCGGTTAAGAAACAAAAGTTATGTGCGCACATATTAGCAGCAGCAAGCGCAAATTCAAAGAATTACTGTATACATGTACACACACACATTCATGCGCGTCTGCTTTGAATTCTATCAACAGCATTGCAATTGCGATTGTATTGTTTTCTGTGTTGCTATTTTAATTGGTTTTTTCTCAATTAGTGGTGTGGCTCCTGAGTAAAAGCGGCGGCGACCCTTGCCAAGGGAACAATTTTTTTTATATGAACTTTTTTTTATTACTTCTAAAGCAATCGAGCGCGTTACGCGAGCTGCATTTGGTGTTGGAAGAAGAGGGTTCAGGGTATCTCCTAGTCGGGAGCTCCCGACTAGAACCTCTTACTTGTTTTATATTAAGGTCCGGGCTCTCGCTTAATAGCCTACTTTACCTTACACTTCTGGGAATACTTTTGAATCCCGTTAGGCGCCAATTAAGTATAGCGTTACTAGTGACACCGTATGCTGACCGACTGGTGCAGCAATAAAACACTAGATTTGAGGATTCAAATCCGAATATTTTTTATTATAGACACGATGTGCTATTTTTTATTCAGTCTTTAAAACACTATAAAATCTGAATTTAAAGTATACTTATTCAAAGTCCTCAGACCGTGGCAGCGCCAACGGCAGAAAGCTCACCCAGCGCCTCGTTCCTACTTTTAGTTTTCGTCGCTGTGGCCGTTGACCGGCACCATCGAAGTCAACGAATATCAGCGGCCAATGCAGCTAGTTTG